ATGTGCACTGAAGTGCTAATCGAGTAGTTCTAATTAGGTCGTTGAGTACATGTGTTTGATTCTCCATTCTTTCACTTAGGAGAATGGTTTCCAGTTCCATCCAGGTTGTCCAAAAAGATAGTAGATCACCAGTATTTTTTATGGCTGAGTCGTCCTGCATAGGATGTCTCTTCCAAGGTATAGACGTGAAGTAGGAAGAGGAACCTCAGGGTTGGAAACAGCAGGAACATTAAGTGGACCTTCTTCAGTGCCGCTACTCCCCTACTTACGTCCTGCAACAGAAGACAGGGTGTGCAGTTTCACTCTGTCTTTAACAAGCACGATTCTGTAAGACTGGGTTTCTCACCCTCGGACAATCTGGAAAGGGCTTGTTTAACTTGGCAGGAGCTGTAAATCATATAATAATGCTCCCCCTTTAAGTCTAAAGTATGGAAACATAAGCTAAGAACAGTTCTAAACTAGCTAGCTACATGGTTAAAAACCAATAAAGAGAAAGAAAAACGGAGTTGTGAAGCTTGAGCATTAAGTGTGACCGTGGAAGGGATTATTGCAGTAGCTTCACTCAGCGTGAAGGGGCAAAGCATTTGCTGGTCTGGGTCCTCATCTCACATTCTTCCTGGACAGTGACTTCACCAGACTCAGGGTTGGTGCCCTTCACAGGGGACTTGCAGTGAGTGGACCTCCACAAATAACTTTCACAGAAATAAGGCTTACATAAGTAATATTTATTACTGCATCTTTAGTAGTGAAAAGCCAGCAGTAACTCAAGGTAAATGCACAGGGAGATAGTCAAGTAAATTATAGTATATCTACTTTATGAAGTATTATATGGTGATTAAAAAGTATGTTTATTCAGAGAATGATGTTTATATTATACCATGCTAGGCATTAGAAAAAAGCAGACTGAACATTTGGATATTATACACATAAGATTACAGCAAAGTAAATAATCTAGGGATAGAGAAAAAGAAGACAGAAATATAATAATTCATTTAACAATTATTATGTATAATAATTCATTTAACAATTATTATGTAGAGACAGTTGGATTTTAAGTGAGCTTTTTTTGTGAAAGTTTATATGAAAGATAATTCATTCAAATTAGAAAGTAAATGTCCAGTGGTAATCCAGCCAAGATGGCTCACACCTGTAATCCCAGCACTGTGGGAGTTTGAGGCAGGCTGATCACCTGAGCTTGTGAGTTCAAGACCAGCCTGAGCTAGAGTGAGACCTCATCTAAAAATAGCCAGGTGTTGTGGTGGCCACCTGTAGTCCCAGCTACTCAGGAGGCTGAGGCAAGAGGATCGCTTGACCCTGAGTCTGAGGTTGCTGTGAGCTGTGATGTCACTGCACTCTACCAGGGTGGCAAAGTGAAACTCTGTCTTAAAAAAAAAAAAAAAAAAGAAAATGTCCCATGGTCAGGAGGTGAGAATGGCACACACCCTCATCTAGACACTGGGCAGGCCAGTTGGAGGTTTAGCTGCGAGCAAGGGACACAGAAAGTCATCCCTCCCTCTGAGTTGGCAGTTAGGTGGAGGGGAGGCAGGCCACAATCGGTTCATGACTGAGGGGGCTGTGTCCTCAGGGGAGTGTGAGGTGCTGGGGAAGCGAAGAGCAAGACAGAACTCCAGGAGGAGTTCAGGGAAGGTTCAGGCGGGGCTGGAAGACAGAGGAGTGAACAGGGGCAGGGGGGCGTGCTCAGGAGATAGGCTGTCCCATGCAGAGGCACAGAGTTCTGGAGAGCACGACACATTCCAGCCACCTCAATATCTGTTCAGGGTGGTGGGAGCCAAGGGAAGCCTGGGGAAGGCGGGGCAGAATAGGATGCTGCAGTAAGAAATGTGTATTTTATCCTCAGGGCAAGCTGAGACTGACATGAAGGGATTTACATTTTTTAAAAGCTCCCTTGACCCCACTGGAGAATGAGATACAAGAGGGGGCACTGGGAGACCAGCAAGGGGGCGGGGGTTTGCCGTAATCCAGGTAAGAGATGATAATGGGCTCAGGGATGCAGAAGGGAGCCTGCCTTTTGTGTTAGGATTAATATTTGGATGGCTGGTTTGGGGATTTCAAATATAGTCATAACCCAACATGATAAAGAGTTTTTATTTTAAAATCTAATTACATAGCAAAAATTTTAGTTTTCACTTTTAAATCTTTTAATTGCCTAGCAAAGATTTTAGAAATCTTCAGGATGAATAAACCCTGGGTTAGCCCGGGATGAACATCACACTGTGAAAATGTCATGTACTATTTTAAAATTGTGCAGAATGTAACATGTTAACAGTTTTCCAGGGAAGGGATGATGGTGCTGGGAAAATGGACAAATACAGTCCTCAAAAAAACCCAGAAGGAGGAGGAAAAAAATAACATTTGGTTTGGTGACAGATCCCCTTCTGTCACTGAGAGTTCCGTGAGAAGCAGGGGCTCCAAGGCAGACCCCGGGCCTGGCAGATAGCAGGCCCCGAGGAAGTCCTTACTGGAAGTGAGGGAGGGAAGGAGGATGGAAGATGGGGTGGAAAACAACGGGATTAAAGCTGATGTTTGAGGTTTCTTCCTGGCTTCCTTGGTTTCATCATTTTTGTTTCCTGCTGACGGCACGCCCCTCGTGGCCCTCATTCATATTTACAGTTGCTGTGATTACTGATGGTTGGAAGTGGGGGAGAAAGTGGTCCAGGCAAGGCTGCCATTTTTGTGCTAGTCATTTACAAATAGCTTTCATTAAATGTATTTCAAAATTTGGCACATTAGAACCTTACTGCCCTCTTTGCCTGAAAAATTAGCAAGCCAGAAAACTTTTATACTTTTATTCACGTATTTGTCATTAATGCTTTTTGGCTAACATGTAGACTTTGTGGCCAAACAACTATAAATGTGCATTGACAACGCTCATTAAACGTGTAAGCATTTCTGAGAGTCAAAACTGGAAAAGGCCCAGGTCCTCAGAAAGGGGAAGGAGATCACAAGTGGAGTGGCCCCTGGGGGACTACGTCTTTCAGTGCTGACCTCCTTTAACCAATGGGGACATTGAGGACCTATATATTGAGTGGCTAACAGAGTCCAGTGGCTAATGGCAAACCCTGAACTTGAATTCAGGTCTGCCTGACTTCAGCGCTCATGCTCCTGGTGCTATGCCTTTTTGCTCTTACGTCATAAATATATAAAAATTCTAAATCCCTAGTTAGGAAGGTGCCATAAGCGAAAGTCCCTAGAGAGACTTTCCCTATTACTGTGATCTTAGAGAGAAAGAAAGAGAAATTAAGATTCTGAACTTGACCTTTTCCTCCTCCTTCTCACTTTAGTCTTATTAATTTTTAAAACTTTTTTTAAATTAGCAAAATGAGAGATTGCCTTCCCTGGGCAGACTTCTTGTCCACCTTCACTCTGAGTTGTTTTCCAAGACAACTGATGTCATGGGTTTCTTGATTATGGATCGATCAACGTGTTGTTTTCCTGGTTTCAGAAAAGCCTTTCCCCCAAGTCTTCCTCCTTTTAGATGCAACCTATCTTCTGTGTTCTAAGGGCTTTTAGGGGATAAGTTATCTAGATTTTTCTCAGATAATCCCAGCCTTGATAAGTAAGCTGTGGTCAGCTTCAAAACCAGTAGTAACACCAACAGTGATAACAAGGAGGGGACAGGTAAATTCACACCTAATGTTTGGGAAGACGTCTGGAGAACACTGAGAGAACTTAAAATAGACCTGCCATTTGATCCTGCAATTCCTTCATTAGGTATATATCCAGAAGACCAAAAATCAAATTACAACAAAGATATTTGTATCAGAATGTTTATTGCAGCCCAATTCATAATTGCTAGGTCATGGAAGAAGCCCAAATGCCCATCGACCCACGAATGGATCAATAAATGGTGGTACATGTATACTATGGAATACTATGCAGCCCTAAAGAAAGATGGAGACTTTACCTCCTTCATGTTTATATGGATGGAATTAGAAAATGTTCTTCTTAGCAAAGTATCTCAAGAATGGAAGAAAAAGTATCCAATGTACACAGCCCTATTTTGAAACTAATTCATAGCTTTTATAGGAATGTCATAACCTAATTATAGCCTTAGAATATGGGAAGGGGGTGGGAGTGTAGGTGAGGAGGGTGATTGGTGGGGTCACCTCTATGGTTAATCTTACAAGGGTACAAGTGAATCTTTCTAAAAGCAAAGTATGAACGTTTTAACTCAATAACTAAAAAAATGATATGAAGGTTATGTTAACCTGTTTGATGAGAGTATTTCAAAATGCATATGAAAACAGCACATTGTACCCCATGATTGCAATAATGTACACAGTTATGCCATAAGAAATAAAAAAAATTAAAAAAAAAATTCACACCTGATGATTCCAGTGCACACTATCCAGGTGATGGGCACACTTACAACTTTGACTCAAACTGCACAAAGGCAATGCCTGTAATCAAAACATTTGTACCCTGTAATATTCTGAAATTAAAAACAATTATATTGTCTCCTATTTAAACTAGAGTTAAGAACAGAATAGTTGTCATATAGCCTAAGCTCAACATCCCACAACTCCTCCCTTGATAAGGTCAAGATAAGAATGTCACGGCTGTCACTTCTGGTAGCCGGGATGACCACAGAGCCTACTCTTTTCCGGAAGTATTTGAAACTTGGATCATTTATGAAAGTTACCCCTTTAAATTAAACTCAAAAAATGCTACTCTACTCTACACCCTTGGTAGGCTTCGTGATGCTTTTTGCTCTTTGTTTACTGTAGATCATGTTTCTTAAGTTTGCTGGTGAAGGCCAAGTGGACAGCTCCGGTGAGAATAATGGAATGTGGAAGCAAAGGACAGATTCATCTTTGAAAGAGTCAAAATCAAGGAAAAGATCTCTTAGGCCCGTGGATTGTTTGATCCTGGCTCCAAAAACACAGTCATAGGAAAATGGTGCTGGAAAGATCGCTCCCTCAGGGAGAACCCTGTCTACCCTGTGATTTATTATTCCTTCATTTGGTTACCTTTTTCAGGTGAGCCGTAACTTTGAGCTGGTTGGACGGGTTAACTTGGATCAGCTGGAACAGATGAAAGAAAAAATGGAGAGCTCCAGCAGTGATGACGAGGACAAGGAAGAGGAAATGAACAGCAAGGCTGAAGACAGAGGTTAGTCTACTCCGGCCCTCTGAGTCCCAGCTGGCATCCAGCACGTCCGTGGTGAGACAGAAGGGAGGCAGGAGGTTGCTGTAGGAGTGACAGAAGGAACGATCCTTCTTAGTTAGGGAGCAGAACAGACTGACTGAACAAACACATTAGGGGCCGTGTCTCTGTAAACTATTACCAGCTCTAGAGACGTCGAGGAAAACAAACATTTTCACCCTAATTATAGATATATGTTTGTTGAAAAAATATATAGCAGTGATTTGTTTTTCATAAGGGAAACTGGTATCTAGGGAATCTTCAGAATAAGGACAGGCAGTCAGCAAGACGGATGACACTGTAAAGCTATTGAGGAATGAGAACAAACTTCCAGTTGAATGCTTACTTAAAATCACCACTTGAGCCCCCTCCCAGTGTCTCTCAGCTTGGCTCTTCTTAATCCCTTCCATGCTGTTTTTCTGTTTTTGCCTTGGGGAGAAAGAGAGACCACCTCTTTCGTTCAACTGTGTATTTACAGGATGCCCTGGGAAGGGTTTCATGTCACTTTTGCACTTTCTTCCAAGTTCCTGTGAGCCTAATTATTTAAAAATAGAAAGGTTTTTTAAAATGTATCAAGTTGTAGATATACATTTATATGCCCCTAGGGTGAGTCTTCTATGTTGTCCAACATAGAATATTGTAGAAAACCCCAGACTGTACAGGTAAGAATATCATTTGGGGTGTGTTACTTTAGTTATTACATATTTATCAAAAGCAGGTGGACAACATAAAGCAGAGAAATAAATGTTATCGACGTCATCCCAGTGATGAGAAAAAGAGTGTTGGTTGCCATTACCGGGCGTCATCATGTGCCAGGCTCAGTGTCAGTGGCCCTTGTAGAACCTTTTTCCTTTAATCTTGTGTGATGTGGAGGGCTCTGCTGTTAGCCTGCCTGAAGGGAACTCCCTTTTAGGTCAGTTATTTCATCTCTATTGCGCATTCGTCATCTGTAAAATAATAATAACAATAATGATGATAATAATAACATCATCGCCTCTATCCTAAAGTTGGTGCCACG